ATCAGGCATATTTTCATTCCAACCCTGAAAACACACATGCCAGTCACTGTCATTCCCCAACTACTAAGAGTTCACTCTGTCAGTGCTGTCTGACTAGAAGATGAAAGTCCAAGCTCTCCTGCTTCACAAGTCTGCTTCCCTTCCTCTTCACTCATTTGCACAACTTAAGAAGTTACATTTTGTTTACTTCTCCCTCTCCATTTCAATTATGTCACTCAAGTAGATTGCTTTTCTTGCAAGGTGCTCCCAAAGGGTTGTACATGCAGTGACTTGCCCTTTTTTGAACCAGCTGATTGTTATTTCATATGAACTGAAGAAGAAACAGGAACTGAAACCGCTCAGGCAGCAGGCTTCTACATTTTCAATTTACTGCTATTCACCTGGAAAGAAATCTGATAACCCATCCCTTCATACTGAACAGCCAGTTATAAAGGGCACAGGTGGATCATGATCACGTGACGGTGAAAAGTTTTGCAGGGAATGAAGCGTTGTATCTAACCACAATACTATCACGAAAGCAAATCTGCAGCCCACATCACGCTCCGCTGTGCTGCTGCCTCTGTAAGGATGTGGTTCTGCGGCAGCGTGAACTCATTATGTGACCCTGTTGCTTCCCCTGCCTTCACCCATGCTTTCCAGACCCTCTTCCTTCCAGTAGGGTTCCTGGGGCTACCCAGAATCCTGGTAACTGAAACTAGGTGAAAACTAACCTTGACAAAAAGTCACTTTTTCCAAGTTCAGTTCCCTGAACCATTCCATTGCACAGACAAGGGCAGAATTGAGATGGTAAAAAACAGAGGAAGACATAGCTGGGGGCAGAGCAGCCCTAACTTAGATCAATTAAATCTATTGTCAAATTACATCTCTAACACAGCATTAAACAAGCCAATCCAAAAGCTCAGCAGCACCAAAGGCCATGTATCCTCTCCCTTTCTCTGCCACATGATCCTGTGTAGCCACCTTGAACTCTTTGGACCTTTTGCTGAGCTGATTTAATTCCCTAATGCTGCTGGGTTTATGTTCTGCAAGCAGCGAGCTCAATCAATGCATATGGGAGTCTGTTGAGTGCTAGAGAAAAATTAAGTAGGGGAAGCTCAAAGATGGGAGATGTAGGAATGGGGTTGTGGACGAAACAGAACATGCCTCTTCTGGCAAGTGGATTAATACAGTGGCTCACCACATTTCAATTTACTTCATCCTTAGGTAGGGATGCTAATGAGTACTTAAACTCAGAATAGGTATGATGGGAAGGCAAGAGCCAGCATAGAGAGAAGGCAATTTATTCAACACCAAGCCAAGAGTTTTGTCAACAAAACACTATATGGTAAATTACAAATAGGAAATAAAATAAATGGAAGAATAAACCAGGGTAACAAGTCAAACTGGCGGGGAGGGGGGGGGGAGGAGGAGGAAGCAAATATTTTCAGAGAGAGGAAGGTAAGATATGATTTGGTAACCTTTACAACCCCAAAACCTCACAACTCCAGCACGCAGAGAAGGAGGAAACCTTCCCTAACAATCGGATGGTTTAAAATGCATCTGTAAAAATAAACTATTTCATAAAGGAATACTGAAGAGATTTACTCAAGTGTAACAGATGAGCTTTACACAGGAGTTACAAAAGATGCAGGACAAATTAAAAGGCTGCAGGCATTGTCAGATAAACCCATTATTGCTAGGCATAGGGGGAAAATCTCATAGTTTGGAAGGTTGGTTCAAAACAACTGTGCCACAGCCTTGGCTGATACCGTCCACATTGCTATAGGTGAAGTAGAACACATTTAACAATAAAGCCCACATAATTCTTCAAGAAATGTCTAAATACCTTAGAAACCAGTGCAAGACAATACCTTGTGATATCACACTGCAGGTGTTAGATACACATTGACCAGCTGAAAAAAAAGGTATCTGTAGTATATAGTTTAAAATCTGTGCTACCTCAAAGATAATGAAATGAATGAAGCACTATACAGACCCAGAGAAGAAACACCAGTCATATTTAACAGACTTTCCGTGATCCTCTGACCAGCATTACCTTTGAATCCCAAAACCACGCACAACAGTAGCAAGTAATCCAGAATCCCTGGGTCCAGAAGCAAAGCAGCTGGCAGCCAGCACACTCAATTCAGAAGCAGGCCAACACTCAAGTTCACAGCTGTTTCTATGTTTTACATTAAACCACCACTGGCTAAAACATGCAAGGTCCGTTCCTGGCTTCGGAACACCCCCAATGACTCGGTGTATTAAGTGCTCTGTTTGCAGGCTGCCCACTGCTCCTCTTCTGAAGTCCTACTTATCTCCATGAACTTCCCAAGCAGCCCACGTACCTAACACACAGTTCTGAATTTCAGTCAGGGCAAGTACTGGAAGTTCACTGCTGCAAAGAGAACTCCTTTTTTGGATCTGCCCTCAGATGAGGATGAAAAGAGTACAGAAGAAGGGCCTCTACAGGACAAAATGCTATGCATTTTTCCACCACAAGTTTTTATTGATTTTAGAATTAACTTTAGGTTCACCTGGGATATTTTTGCCTTACAGCTTTCAAGGAATCAAACATTTTGTAAACTTTATACACTGCCAACAGAAGGTTAAAATTAACTGAAAAAAAAAGATCGGTTCATCAACACTTCACAACACCTAACTCAAACCTCTCCCAAAGATTTCAGCAAGGATCTAATCTACAAGCTTTACATGCACTTCTATGACACTGTAAAGTAATTCATCCAGTCCAACACAGATCTAGCTATAAAATAAGACAGCAACAACTTTATTATAAACCATTCCAAGAAAGCTAAAGTGAAGAGTCTTGAATGCAAATTCCCAAATGCCAGATGATGCAAATAGCCTATTTACTTTCTCACCTATAATGAACAGCTAATATCACAAGATTAACTACGTGCAATTGGATTTTAACATGATTGTTCATAATGTTTTCTTACAAATTCCTCTTTTCAATGGCTCGATTAAAATTTTATAACGAATTCCCTTACCTAAGCATGTGTTCTGTTTACCCAACAGGGAATAATGGCACTTGAAATATAGTGCGTATTTTCTAGCTACAGCAATCACGGCTGAACCACAGTTATGTTTCACATGCCAGAGACAAACACACAGGATTATCTTCACCAGAGAAGCAACTCATTTTAATAGCATTGCTTCTCTCCAGCTTTTTTAACTAACCTGACAGGAAGAACCGTTTCAGTACTTACTAAAAAGGAAACAGGTAGTGAAATGGTACTTCACTCTAGGGCTGAGTTCCTTCCCATGTGGCTGGGGAGAGTCAAATAGTGATAAATACAGCAAATCAGTGCTCTAAAGGCTGCCCTTATCACCACTTAGGTATTTTGGTCAGTTATTTTCATCCCTGTTGCAAAGCACATGGAACGTGGCTAAACTGAACAAATTTTCTGGAAATTAGTCAGTCAGTTAACTCCTGTCTATGACTAACCTGCACAAGATAATCTTTCCCTCCTGCCTCTCCCCCTCAAAAAATCATTCCTAAGCACTACTCCTCAGGAATTAGGAGGGATTTTTGGATAAGTCCCAAATAATAAAAAAAAAATTCCCTTGGAGGTAGAGAAGAAGTTATTGCAGTTTGACTTTTCCCGGGAGACTTTCCAAGGTAACATGAACTCATCCATTCAGCACAGATGTTTGGAACAATGTCAAACTTCAGAAGGCAACAAGGCATCGATGGCGATGCAACTGAACATAGTGCTAGTGTAAATGGAGGATATTGTCCTACGTTTATTAAACATGGGAGTTTTTTGTATGCATGAACAAACTGCCTCACCAAACTGTCTCTGTGGACAAGTATACTGGACTGGCTATGTTTTGTGCAACTGAGTTCAGTTCTATTGCACAAAAAGAAAGGGATGGGTGGGCTATACAGCTCTATCCGATAATTCAGAAGATACCACAGGTCACAACAGAATGAGCAACTGACTTCTTGTACTCTATTTTCCATTTGAGTTTCTCATATGCCCACAGGCCTTTTGATGAACTCTAAAATGTTAATTTTTTTATTCTTTGGAAACAAGTTGCTATGGTGGAGATGAGATTCTATTTGTCTAATTCTTGTAGATCCTGGAAGACAGTGAGATAAATCAATCAAAAAAAGATTTTCAGTTGGCAAGAATTCCTTGATTTTTTCTCAAATCCTTTTTTTTTTTCTTTAACTTCAGTGACTAACTGGTATGTTGAATACAAGACATCTATGATAAAGGCATCATCTCTACACTTACAGTGAAAATCTCTAACTGTGATTTGAGAAATCCTTTAGCCAAACATCAGATATTTATAAATATAGTACCTTCATGTTTTGAAATTAAAGAACAAGTGTTAACATATTCCTTCTTCCAGTATCAAAAAGGAAAAAAAACAAACCTGTAGTGCTTTAAACTCTAACCTGTCAGACATCAATTGTAAGTTTCCCTCCTTCCACAACACAAAAGTTTGCCCTCCTCTGCCTGTTTTTCACAGCCCATGAACTAGTGACTGTTTTCTACTGCACTTTATCTCTCTCAAGACAGCATGAGTCCAAAATTTCAAACAGACATTTCTACAGCAGTGCAACACTGAATTATCTCCTAGATAGCCTTGAAAGTATTTTAAAACTTCGTTCCTCCTGATTTAGTGGAGCTGCCAATACCCACCTGACATCTAATCACCCAAAGTGCTTACCTTACAGATTAACATTTCAGTAATTTCTACATCTCTGCCTTGTAATACAACTTTACACAGGAAATATATCCACTACATTCAGCAAAATTCCTATGCTTGTGTGATCCTTCCTGAGAAGTGATGCTGCCTTTGCAATTGAGAAACCAGAGCTATCACCTCAAAGGTGACAAAAGTTTATCATTCAGCTGGTGCAAGAAGTGAAAAAATTTAAGAAACAGTTTTCTCCAATATCAAGCATCAAGTATTGGTGTGATTTAATGCACACACACCTCACCATCTTTTATTAGAAGTAGGTTTAACATCCTAAGTAATTTTACCTTATCAAGAGTTCTTCTTTTATCAAGTGGTGATGCTTCTCACAAAACCCAGAGCAAAACAAAGCACGTTCCTCTCAAAAAACAATATTCTGAACTTCTAAATCCTACGGCCAAGAAGGTGTAGTTTGTATGGTCACAAAGTGGAACTCAGGGCCAGTACTAGTATTAGCAAGATTGGGTGCTATGTAAGGGAGAGAAGCAGGTGGAGAAAAAGCGAAAGGCCAAGCAGACGGAAGATCCTGCGCTCCCCGCTGGGCCTCTGCTCCTCACAGCCCCGTACCGCTCCGGGCGCTGCCTCCATCTGGGAGCCTCGCAGCCGCAGAGGTGAGGCGAGGTGAGGCGAGGCCAACGCGGCGGCCGCGGCAGGCCGGGAAGCGCAGAGCCGAGGCGAGGCTGGGACCCGCAGGAGCGGCCGCCCCGGCCGGGCACCCCCCTGCCCCGCTGCCCGGGCGGGAGAGGGGCTGAGGCAGCGGGCTCCCACCCGGGCCGCGGCTCCCCGTGACGACGCTATTTTCACTCAGTGCTGTGGGAAGCCCTCCCGCCTGGGCTGCCCCGGGGAGCATCCGCCTGGCGCCAGCCTCCCAGGTGAGAGGAGGGCAGGGGGCGGCCAGCTGGAAACGACGAAAAACAACGCGGAAAGAAGCTCCGCTCGCGGCATGAAGCCGCCGAGCCCGGGCAGGGCGGCCAGGCCGCAGGCAGCCGGAGGAGCGCTGAGGCGGCCGGGCTGGGCCGCCGCCGGGCAGGGTCCCCACTCGCTCGCCTCTGGACGCACTCAGCCGTGGCCAGCGGCCGGCCGGAACACCGCGGCAGCGCTCGGTGAGCCGCGCTTCCTCAACCACCCACAACGCCCCCCCCAGCCGAGCCCCTGAGGCAGCGCTACCGCCGCGGCCAGCCCGCCCCCTCAGCGCTACCGCCGCGGAAACTTTCTCGCTCCCAGCCCCACACCTCTCCCGCCCCTCGCGGCGGGGCGGAGCGGCAGCTGTCGCGCCCAATGGCGCCGCGAGCGAGAGCCCCCACGGCCAATGGGAGGAGGCGGGAGGCGGGACCCGCGGCGGCCGCCGGCGCCGGGGTGGGGGTGGGCGCCGCCGGGATTGCGGGCAGGGCTGCCGGGACCCCCGCCGCGGCCCGGCTCCCCTCGCCCCTCCCGCGCCCCGCGGCCCCGCTCACCGGGAAGCCTGGCTCCGCCTCCTCCCGGCGCGGGGGCCCGAGACCGACCGCCTCGCTTCTCCGCCGCCGCCTCAGGCTCGGGGCCGGGCCGGCGCTGACCGCGGGCGCCTAGCGGGACTCCTGGCGGGCGGCTCCGGCTCCCGCGGCCGCCCAGGCCTCCTCCTCCTTCCCGCCCCCCGTTGCTCCTGCCGGGCCCGTAAACATCCCGGCAGCCCCGCGGAGGGAGGCGGAGCGGCCGCCGGGCCCCGCCTCGCACCACCGCCTCCCCCCCCGGCCGCGGGCGAGGGGTCCGCAGGCGGCCGCGGCTCCGCTCCGCCCCGCGGGGTGAGCGGCGGCGCCGGGCCCGGGCTGGCACGGAGCGGCGGGGAGCGGCGGGCGGCTCCCCCCGCCTCTGGAGCTCGCAGCTCGGTGAAGTACGTGGCTTGTGAAGTGTTTTGAGATGGGGCCTTCACCCGCCGTGCCGCCGCGGTAGCGCAGCAGCCGCGGGGAGCGCGGCGCTGGCCCGGGCAAACCCGGAGCGGTGCGGGAGCGAGAGGGAACCGGGGACTGGCTCCTCCGCAGTTCAGTGAACGGCACGGGTCTGAGGCTTTGCCCCAGCCTGCTTCGGAAAACCCGGGCGTGTTACAGAGCATACGGTCATTTTGCATATGAATTGTGATATTCAATCGACAAGACGTTAGGTATTGGCTGAGTGTATCAGCTGGAAGTGACTCAAACTCCTTTTTGCCATACTTGGAGAAAGAAAAGTGACGGGACCAGACTCTCAGTGAGTCCTGACCCACCAGTTCCTACTTTTTGCAACAGCACTCGGGTTAAGTAGATAAACACTGAATTCAAGAATACTACTGTTTTTCAGGTTCCCGAAAGTTTAGCCTGCTTCAGGATGAGGAAAAACAATTAACTTCACAGAACAGAGATCTTTGGAACCAACAATGGGGAAAGAGTATGAAAGCTGACCGCAATCTCCCCAGTAAGGTTATGTATGGATTTCTGTGATCAAATGGCCTCTCTCTCAGGTGTGGAAACCGTCCGTAAAAGATCTCTGGCATTTCAGTGAGAAAACAGTGGTTTAAAATGTATCTTGAATCAGAGGTACTTCATTTTTTCCAAAGTAGAGTCTCAGTTCTCTTAAGGGTTGTTTTTTGGTTTTTGTTTTTTTTTTTTTTTCCTTTGTAACAGGTAACGTTCTACTTGATTTAAATCTCTTGCAGAATAAATAGGAAGCGGGCCAGTGTGTCTGGGAAAAGTCTATTCACCTCCCTCTCTACAGAATTTTACTGTCTGCCTTTGAGGCAAACTTTTCAGCTTTGAGAAATCTGGAGTATATTCAGTCATAGGAAGTCTAATGAAGTGTGAAAGGAAGTTGGTTTTTTGTTGTCTCTCCTTAATGTTAACACATTTATTAATCATTATGCCCATTTCCTCTATATTAGCATTGGGTTGTTTGGTGTCATTAGCCACATACAGTGACAAGGTGACTGCTCTGCCTGTGGAATCAGACATACCCAATAATCTTCGCCTATGAAGTGCATTTGTATTTCTTTTAAAAGTACAGTCCAAAAGAATAAATCTGATATATTTTTTTTAATGGATAAACTATCTTGCAAAAGCAGTTTCTTGAAAAATAATTCCCTGGATTATTTTCTTGTAAAAAGTGCAATACTTTAGGTTCCCCACATATCAAAGAGAGAAAACTTGATAGATCTGCCATATAATGTTAAGTTACTCAAAAGAATTACTATCAGCAATTCCACTGAATGTTTTCCATCTCCAAACGTCCCTTTAGTCTCAACAAAATTTATTTGTGCAAGATGGTAATGTATTTGGAACACCTCTGATGGAAAAAGGGGGGATTGATATTTGATGTGTAGCTGACCACAAAATATCAAGTCTTATTAGGTATCATTTTTTGCAAGTAAAGGCAATTACTGTTATAGTATCTAGCTATTGCTCTTTTCTAGATTCTCTCAGATGGAAAACGAGCAGTTCACAATCACCACGGAGATCTAGGTAACATTTGAAACTTTCTCTACATTCATGCATTAAAAGAGAATAAACGAGAGCCTAATTGCCATTTTTTTCCTATAAGTTTCTCGCTGCCTTCCTTTGCTTAATCTGACTGTACTGAGTTTTTTTTGTCTTTCATCCTTTTCTTATACTTGCTGCACTTTCATTCTTTTTCCTTGAGATTCTCCATGCTGTTATTTCACTGTACACTTCCATATTTTTACTTCTCTATTTAGTTGCCTGAATCCAACAGCTACTTTAACGTGACATTACCGATTGCTGCAGCATCTTCTCTTTCCTATATTTCAACCTTAGCTTTCTTAGAGGGTGGTTGTTTCCATTTCCTTTTTGGTGCTTCAGAATCAGAAAACTTGAAGAGGCTCCTCCAGTTAACTAGTCTATCATCATGACCAGGCAAAAAGTCTTTAATATAAATGTAACTACAGTGCACCCACTGATTTTTAAATTTTCAGAGTGAAAATCTTCCACATACCACAGAAGATTGTCTTCAGACCTGTCCTGTACAAATGTTTACTTACAGAAGGACGTTTTTCTTTGCTTTTCAATGCACATTTTCAGTTAATTAAATTCATCTAGTATTCCCTGTAATGGAAGCTTTATATTAGGTAGAATCAGAAAGGCGGTAGAGGCTCCAAAAGATCCAGTAGCCTTAGGGATTTTTAAGGAGCACCTTATCTCTGGCAAATGCTTCTCTTGGAGGCTGTAGGGGACACTATCTAAGCCTCTAGCAAAGGATTAGAGAAAACAAAGACATGCTGGAATTAGTGATCTGGAAGGGAGAACGTGGCTTGTTCCCTAAGTCTTATCAACTCCTGAAGGTGTTGCCAGCAAATGCTCTACACCTGGAAACAAACAGGCCAGAGGCAGAAGGAATGAGGACTCCACTATTTGTCAATCGATGCTGCTCTTCACCAGCCTTGCTAACATAAATCCATTTACGTATTGATACTAATTTAAGAAAGTTCCACCAGTCTTTTTTTGGTTATTGAGATCTGTATAATTAAAATCTGTGAATATATATAACCTATAAATATGACCAGGGTTCAAGGATATCAAAAATATCAAATGATAAGGAAGGATATTATTTGGAATGGCAATGTTACGTTTGGATTGTCACTGAACTAGAAATGGTGTCCTTGGCCAGGACTAAGCTGCTGGATTTAAAAGCAGCCAGAGACTGTTAGGTAACAACATAAAAGTCAACTGGGACCTCAGATGTTTAGACCTACTCCCCGGATGATTCCTAACTTGCTTTCTGCTATTATCCAGACCCCTGTACATCTATATTCTTGAGATGTTCAGTAACAGAATAAACTTAAGACTAGGGAAAAATACAGACTTTAAAACTTTCAGGCAGAAGAACTCACTAGGACAGTGGAGGATGGGAATAGATGTCTTTGGGGTCACAGAGGTAGGAGCATAACAGCTCACTGGTTAACAATTCTTCAGGTTCTTCAAATCAATAAACTACAGGAACTTAATCAAAGGAGCAACTGCTCTGCCCTAAGTCCTTGAAGCCTGAAAATGCAGGCTTCGAGTCTCCCTCTATCCTGGTTCTTTGTTATTAACGGTAAAAAGGCCAGGATAGCTGCCTGTGACATGGTAGGGGAAATCAGAAAGGCTGTGAAGGCCTGTGAAGGGGTAAAGAGAGATCCGTTGTGTCTGCACTGGATAAATATTATGATAGGACCTTATGCAGAACTTAAGCTTTCAAACAACACAAATCATTAAATGGAGCAATTCATCAGAGGAGCTTGGAGAGCTCCTGATTTGGACCAAACAGGGCACTAGACCTTCCTCAGAACTTCTGTATCAAAGAACCGTTTCAGAATTTTGATCATAATAAATTCAACACCCGTGCAGAAGTAAAAAGCCTAAATAAATGTACCATAGCAACAGTGAGTGTAAAAATCAAGGAATTTTGTTAAAAGCAAATTAAAAGGAAGTGCCAAAGGGGAAAATGACCTGTATTAGAATTTCTGAGTAAGTATCTATCATTTATCAAAAGCCAATAAGAGGACCTCCAAAAGACTGGCAGAGCTCTACATGAGAATAAAGGATACTATTAAAAACAAAAAGGCAGTCTTAAAAAAATTGTGTTCAGATGAGGAAAACAGAAAATACCAAAACCTCTGGCAAGCTAAATGTAAAACTGTAAAAGGCAGGCCAAAAGCGTTTGAAGGAAAATGTTGGTAATAGTATAAAACTTTATTGTAAAACCCCTTCCAAACACATCAGAAGCAGGAAGCCTGCTGTTGTAGACTTTTCAGTGCCAATAAATGATCATGATTTAAAGACGGAAGGATTCAACATAGGTAAGGATAGAAAAAAATGTTTGTTTCTGTAATAGATACTATGAGAGATTCCAACAGGGGAGCCCTTTATACCACACAAACCTATGAGAGTTTTTGGAGAGGTATGTGGAAACACTGAGCTCAGATAAGATTCCTGTATTTCAGAAAAACTTCTTAACAGTTCTTCACTAAAGCTTTTTAAAGAAATTAAGCTGCCTTGCAATAAGAGGAAAGGATCAGTACATAGCTAATAACTGATTTCAGAGAGGAAAAAGGTAGAAATAAATAATCCATTTCTGCCCCAGAGGGAGGTTTCTGCTAGAATCTCACAGGGATATATGTTGGGTCCATTACTGTTTATATACTCTTTATAAATAATAGAGATAATAAGATGACCAAGTTTGCCAGTAGTACAAAATTATGTAGGATAATAATATAAAACCAAAACAAAACACTAAAACTGGAGAACACTAAAACTGGAAAACAAGACAGATGAAAAGGAAAATTAATGTTAAGCAAAAACTTCTATGAGAGGAAAAATGTATAGAAAACTTCATCTTAAGCATAAATGGCTAAATGAGATGCGAACCTCATGAAGTTCAACAAGGCCAAGTGCAAGGTCCTGCCCATGGGTCAGGGCAATCCCAAGCACAGATACAGGCTGGGTGATGAGAGGATTGAGAGCAGCCCTGCAGAGAAGGACTTGGGGGTAGTAGTGGATGGAAAAGTGACTGTGAGCCAGTGATGTGCGCTCACAGCCCAGAAAGCCAACCGCGTCCTGGGCTGCATCAAGAGCAGTGTGGCCAGCAGGTCGAGGGAGGGGGTTCTCCCCCTTCTGCTCCGCTCTGGGAAGACCCCCCTGCAGTGCTGGGGCCAGCTCGGGGGCCCCCAACAGCAGAAGGACACAGAGCTGCTTGAGCGGGGCCAGAGGAGGCCACGAAGATGCTGGGGGGGCTAGAGGAGCTCCCCTGGGGGGCCGGGCTGAGAGAGTTGGGGGGGTTCAGCCTGGAGAAGAGACAGCTCCGGGGAGACCTTCCAGGGGCCTTCCTGTACTTAAAGGGGGCTCCAGGAAAGGTGGGGAGGGACTCCTTATGAGGGAGTGTAGGGATAGGATGAAGGTTGACAGTTTTAAACTGAAAGAGGGTAGATTTAGATTATATGTAAGGATTCTTCCCTGTGAGGGTGCTGAGGTGCTGGCCCAGGGTGCCCAGAGCAGCTGTGGCTGCCCCCTCCCTGGCAGGGTTCCAGGCCAGGTTGGACGGGGCTGGGAGCACCCTGGGCTGGGGGAAGGTGTCCCTGCCCGTGGCAGGGGGGTTGGAACTAGATGATCTTTAAGGTCCCTTCCAACCCAAACCATTCTGTGATTCTATGAGATGAATGAAAGAAGATAGAAAATGGATATGTCAACTTATGAAAGGCATAGAGAAGATATTATTGTAATTGTTATTGCTTTATTGGTTAATATTGATAAAAGAATAATTATTCCTTATCTCTCATAGTGAATGTATTAGATGCCATAAAATGAAATTAGCTGGCATAAGTTTTAAATGCAACAAATGAAAGCACTTTTCTATATGGTGACTACTTAAACTGTGCAGATGAAAAGTATGAGTGGATTAAAAAATTTCACAGAAAAGACCATAAATAACCATTTAAACTATAAATGAAAAAATTACAGGTATGACCGCCAGCTTCAAATCTTTTTAGTTTTGAGACAACAAATACTGAGGAATGGGATTGCTTTATACATTTTTTAAGAGGTGATTTTGTTCACCTCTTACAAAGATGAACTGTGTTCTAATGAAAATGGAGGTATTCTTTTTCATATAAATATTGACGTTTTTAAACATTAAGGAGATTGACTGTGCAATTGCATATTCAGACCAGGGCTTCTAAACCTGAAGGCTATCAGCTCAGTTTCAAGCAACAGCAGAAACCCCTAAACTGTTAGGAATATTGCTGTGCGGGAAGGTGCAGCTACATAGAAAAGTGTGAGAATATTGAGCTTAAGGAGCCTAAAACCACGGCAAAATTTCACTAAGAACTAATCAATACAGTGTTGTCGGTGAAGGAGTAGCTAACTGTGGCAATTTTATGCCACCACTAATAATTCTTAAAAAACCTGATTGTTCTAGATTTTTAATTCAGTATTTTGAAACAGAAATATTTTGTCCTTCTTTCATTTAGGTTCCCAAAAACATTATTAATACAATGTACTGTTTCTGATTCCTCTGTAATTTTTATTGTCATGTGCAGAAAACTTTCGCCATTTCTGAAAACCAGAGTATAGACACCAAAAGTGGGAGTAAACTGAAAATTACGTCTACTTCCAGACTGAAAACTGCCAAAATTAAATCTAAAAGACATTCATCCATACAAAGACCACTGAAATGACACAAAATAAGGCGTAGGTCTAGGATATTCGAAGGTAGAAAGAGGATTTTCCCCAGTTGTCCCTGGTGAGCAGAGTGAGCATACCGAGGCCTGGCAGGAAGTCTGAAAGGCACCGTTTGGATAGGAATTATTATGGTTAATAATCATGACTCGGAACTTTTGTGATTTCTGGAGCGGCAGTCAGGATCCGGCACCAAAGTGGCACCCCGGAGCGGTTGGCGGTTTCTGTCGCAGGCGCACACGCCGGGCAGAAGGTGGTTGTGGTTTTGGTGCGCTGCCCGTGCCAGCAGATCTCGCCGCCTCCCTCCCGGCGCGAGGCCGACGCAGCAGTGCCCGTCCCGGGGGCACCGCGGTGGCGGTGAGCTGGCAGTCAGCGCGGGTGGTACACGCTCCTGCCACGCTGCCGACCATGGGACTTTTGGGATACAGTCATCAGCCTGCAACCAGGGGTCTGTTTCTAAACCTGAATGTTTTGGTTGGCAAGGCAACGCCTGATGGTACAATTAGCCTCTTAATTTTCTTCTTAAAAATTGTGATTAAATACAAGTCCCCTGCACAATACCTTTTCCTAATATTTGGTGCTATATACATGATCACAGTAAAATATGTTTCTCTTTTTCGAAGTTTTCCTTTGCTCTATCACACTATTTCCACGTATTACCATAATACATGTATTTTTCTTTAAATGAAGGAAGAAAATATTTGTGTGTTTACTGTAGTTATCACACTAAGACCAACGTAGCTTGCTCACTGGTAATGAAGAAAAACAAAGTTTGGTGCAGGATAATTGACCACAGGCTGATCTCAGTACAGGACAGGATATTCTGCCCATCCAGAGTCTCACTCCACTGCAGCTAGATGAGCAGGTTTCAGGTTTTTTACACCCTGGTCCATCCACATCTTCCCTCAGTATGTCCTAGCGTTCCCCATGGTCCTTGGCGGCGGGCCTACTCTCCCTCATTTTAGAAACTGGTAATAGACTACCCAGCTAGCAAGTTCGAATGCAGTTTAGAGATATTTGTACCATGCTTGAGTTACACATGACAGCAATGACTCTGTTCAAGAACCCAGCAACAGACATAATTGTCTGTATTATATCTTACCTCAGTTGTTCCTATTTAACAAATATTTATCGTAAAACCTTATACATCAAGGTAATGTTCTTCTCATTTTTTTTTTTTTTTTTGCTAGGTTGTTTTCTATGTCTATTTGAAGGTGCAATCCAGTTTGAATATTACAACTTTCTTGGTCTTCATAACTCTGTGACAATGAGCCTCCAATCAGTGACTGGAAAGTATTCCCTTTATACATTTTTTTAATTTTCCATCTTGTAAGTTAATTGATTACCTTACTATGAATGCCAGAATCTAATACTAGTACATTTTTCCAATGGTGGAAATTACCTAACTTGTGCTTGGCAATGAGGTTCTTTTACAGAAGAACGGGAACATACTCATATAACAGAAAGTCTTACAGAAGTGGGTGAGCCTTTCAGCTTCCAAATAATGGTTCTGTCTGTTTGTCCAAGGCAGTAGTGTTTACGATATGACACAGGATTAGAAACTGCCTTCAACTCTATAAACGTGTACTTGCCAATAAAACCTATAAACTGTATATTTGGTGTCACTGAGGTCCAGATTCTTAGCTAGTGTAAGTCGGTGTAGCTGCTCTGACTTCAGTGGAGTCATGCTGATTTACACAGCTGAAGACCTGGGCCTTCGCTGTTGGATCTGGGAGTTTTAACCAAAAAAAGAGAAAATTTGGTTAAGTTTGTCTTCTCCTTCAGTAAGTCATGGCTGCCAGAAATTGTGTTATGCTTGAGTCATTGTTACGATAAAATTACAAAACAAAAATTCAGTAAGCTATTAAAGAAAATCCATGGCTGTTACATTTTAAGTCAAATAAAATAAATATCCATGTTGATGGATCCACATGCAGAATCACATTAGCTTCAGTGGTGTCTAAGAAATGAAGTAGTGGTGTCTAAAATGTTTACTGAAACCTTAACCATAATTTTTATTTCCCCTTCCCACCTGGCTAAATCCCTGGATAGATCAGATGCTGCAGTGTTGAATCCCTGAGGAATACATAGAAGCAATTTGTAATTTTTACATAGTAACACAGGTAAAATTTAGAAGAAAGTTTGTCAAACATATTGGGATTTTCCAGTGGAAAGTGATAGGTAAGATAAAAGCATTTCTTGGCTATTTAGCGCACAAATAAATCACAAAGCCACAGACCTTGGGGAGATGCATATTCAAATGTATTATGTTATCCACTGTATCACACCTGGTGATTCAGCTGGACAGCTATTCAAACTGCACAGTTCAGATCTTCTTACCTGGATTCAACAAAATGTACACCTTTGTAGAAAGGCAGCCTGAGGTTCATGATTACTCAAACACCATTTACTGTTTACATTTAGTCCTGGTACAAGACACAAAGGTATATACGTTACATGTAGGGTCTGCCCAGAGACCAACATAAGTCTTTGCAAATGTTCTGAATTCCACTGTTACTCGATAAATTTCGTTCAATAGTTTTATTCAGTCTTTCCATATAAGCTTGACCAAGTTTCCTCATCTGTTGTTCCAGCCTTTCAGCTAGAAGTAAAATGAAGATAATACAGCGTTCATTCTCCTAGCATCCTTTCTCTTAGCTTGTGTCACAGCTGGTTAGAGTGCAACTCTTCCAAACAAGAATTGTCTCTCACCATGTCTTTGCACGTTGCCTGGTATAATGGAGCCTATGCCTGTGCTGCAGTGCAAATGAATAATAATTTATGATGATGTTGGAAGAGTGTTGACAGAAACAGAGCTAATGGCACTAGCAGGGAATAACTGCACTTATAGTAAAAATAACAATTGTCGGTCACAAACAGCACTTAATTTCCAGTGTTTAATCTTTATTAGCTGGAACTCCCAATACAAAGAACATGATTTTCAGTGGCAATTTTGGTAGAATAAGGATTGCAGAATTTTTCTGATTTCAGCAGACTTTGGAGCCAGCTTTAGAGAAAAAAAATCCACAGAACAAGTGAAATAAATATTGTTGGCATTTTACAATAAAATGGGAGTGCATTTTATAGGTGGCTAGCAGCTTGTAATTACCCTTAGTAAAACTAATCCTTTCCCTGTGCTTATTAAAATGTTTCATGTATCAGCAAGCCATGAAAAGGGCTCACCACCAATCTCTTAACTTGCACTAAAACTGAGAAACGTCCACTTGAGTCATAGTTCCCAGTGCCAGTCCTGTTTCTCTGCCTGCTATTGGAATTCAAAGCCTCTGAGGGGATTAAAACTAACACATTAGTTCCTAATTAAATCCAAAAGGGATGTGAAATGTAACCAAATAACTTTATAGTATTTATTGGGAATATGGTCTCAGGAGGATAAGGAAGGAGCAATGGCTTTCAATTAATGATTTTCCTTCTTCTAACACACAGAAAATGTCTGCAGTGTTCTTTTGACCCCTTTTAATTTCTTCAGGGGGAGCATTTGACTCTTCAAGCTTCCTCCTGCAAATGTATTTTTAAAAGTTGCTGCAGGTTTGTAATAATTTAGTAGGATAAAGAAGTACAGTCATTACTATTGCAGTCCTTTTTTCTTCAATTAGTATTTCTAATCACATTAGACATGTTTTCAGTATCCAGAGAGGATGCCTGATCCCTACAGCTATCGTGAACCATTAACTTTAATTAAAATTTACAAGTCTAATGTTGTTACATCTGCTAAAAGCATTAACTGCCATGTTAATTACCAAAATGTTAATGTTGCGTTAAAATATGAATGTTCCCTTTTGACAGTTCATCTGTGGTTTAATTATTTATTTTTGGTATAATATCTCCTAAAAAAAAAAAAAAAAAGAAAAAGGCATAAAAGCTTAAATGCTGACTGAAATAATGAGACATAATGGGAAAACTTAATCTAAATAGAAAACTTAATACTTTATAATATCAATTGTTAGCAGAAACTCATTTGTATTCTTTGCTGCATCTAAAATAAATACGTGGTGCTTGTGTCTTGGCTAAGATGTAGTTTATAATTGCAGCGGATTCTTCTGGTATTACTTTGTAGGGATATCTAATCTGTGGGACACAGTTCTTCAATCCCCATAGCTGAGCACTGTCATTGTTTTGACCCTACAGTAGAAACTTCCCCCAAAAGAAGATTGCAGGACTTCACATCAAAAACTTCTATTGAATTTCTGAAGGTTTCCCCATATAACTCATTACAAGATAGATATAAAAAAGGAGATGCCTAGAACTCAGTCCTGAAGTTACCATACTCCCTGTCTCAAGAGTACAGGATCAAAGTGTAAGACTTTTTAAATCGATACAATTAGCAACAGGTATAGCAGGGTATTTGCAGTAATTCATATAAAGAAAACAGAAGTCTCTGGTTAAACTAAAGCTGTCAGCTGATATATTTCATGGTAAGAATACTCCCATGTCATACTATTCTTAAAGATATTGTTGTTGAAATTAATAAATGAGAAGGTTCTGATAAACCAATGTTAAATATAGTTGTTACATGTTTCTCTCACATTGAATAATTATTTTAATGGCTGAAGTTAACAGTCTGCCTAGTAATTTCTTAATGTGATTGTAAATAGGTACTGTTAGATTTTATGCCATAATCTATTTTTTTTTTTAATTTACATGAGGAAACCTTAATTTTGCCTGTAGATCTTCTATGTCACATGTCAGATGCACATTCCTCACTCTGGTGAATATTGGAAGTATGCAGCTGTTTCGTGGCAAGTGCATAATTGGTTTTGTAGGGTGGAGGAAAATGTATTTGTAGAGATAAGTCCAATTCACAAATGTAGACAATGTATTAGATTTATTTTTAAATTCTACAAGTCACAGTGTCCAGGATAAAACATTTCAAATTACTGATCAAATCTTATTTTAGCACTTCTAAAGAAACTAGATCTATAAGTTCCTTCTCATGATCTGAAAATGACAAATTCACATAGACTGCTGCAAGTTGTCAGTGGACTGTCAGCTAACAGGACACCATGTATAGCATAATACCTCTTGGTTCACCACAGCTTGCCCTTTTCTGATGTCCAGATTTTCTCTCAGCTATATGGTGGAATTAGGTAGTTCCACTCAGAAAACATAGGTTTTCATATAAAATATTTAGAGCTCCCTTTCTTAGAGGTAGGGGTTGTACCATTCTAATTGAATTTTCCTAGCAGCAAAGTTGCATTCAGTTGTCTTTTCAAGTTAACATTGTAGGAAAATGCTGCAATAAAGAATCATTTGTCTTCCACAGAGTTTGAAGGACTTGTCTCCATATCCACTTGCAGAGCTTTTAATAAAGGACCATTGAATGAACTGGTCTGAAGCAGAGAAAAGCTCTGCAGTCTTCCAGACCTTCAGAACCCAAGTTGGTCTGAGAGTTCATGGAATCTATCACCAATCCTCTCTGAAAAAAAAAAAAAAAAAAAAAAAAAAAAAAAAAAAAAAACCCACACAAAATGCAAACAACCAGGAAAAAACAAAACAAAACAAAACACAGAAACCTTTCAAGCTCAGACAGTGTAAAACCCAAGCTATGGCTGGTTATGTTCTTGTAGGTTTGAGCCATACTGAATTCACATGCAGTAGGACTAGTGCTAAGACTTACTCTGGCGTGCTCTGATCCCAAGGCTTTTTGAAACACTACTGCAATCAGAAAATATTTCCATTTAAAAATAATAGCTGCTATTATTTTGAAGAATGTAGCAAGTTGCTAAGAAAACGTTTTCTAATAGTCTGCCAGAAGGCAACCTATCTCCTGGGCTTTGTTTGCTTGTATAGATTTCATTGCCTGCAGCAATATTACTTAAAGTCAAGTTTATAGAAACTTTTGTCTCTCTTGAGGAGATGAATACTTTCCAAAGCTCATTATTTATTTGGGAATATTCAAGCACCCTCGAAAAGACAAGGAAATAGTTCAAATGATTCATTTGCACTTAATCTGATATTAACTTTTGTGTTGCAGAGCTCTAATTTACTTAACTTCTTGCCAAGTTCTGCATTACCACTAGTCTTGGAGCATGGAATTCACCCCTCTTTTGGAGTCTTCCAGTTCCTACAGCATGGGAAACTAACTTAACTCCTTTTTTCCTGAGGAAAAACAGAAACACGTTTTTTAGTTGGTTCTTGTGGCTTAACTGTCATAAAGCAGAGCGGAGAGTACTATACTGCTACTGAGACCCACAGACAGGCAAGAAGCCTCCCTTTTCATTTCTGCAGTTATCATCTTTTATTTTGTGAAATGTAAATTAACCCCACAATACCATGCCCACAGAGTAGCTCCAGCAAAAATGTTGCCTTTCTCAGTCATTCTGATTAAGGGAATGCAGGATCTTATTCAAGGATAAAGTATTAAGGAAACAACAGCACGCCTGTGTTCAACAGGTTCTGATTTGTCACCGAATGTACACAAAAGCATGAAAATAATTTGTGTTTAACAGCAATGTCTGCCTTAAAATTTGCATATCTTCCTTCTCTGCCTACTTTTAAATCTTTTTTTCATAGTGCATATACTACTGAATTGGAACTTGAAAAGATTTCTCCTATGTACTTCACCAAGCTTTTGGGTGGAGGATGCTTGTCTGAATACACTGTAATAGCTGGCAATCAGCCTCATACTCCATCCATTGAAAAACTATGTTATTGAACTGTAAAATAGTGGAGTCATTATTAATAGTTAATTAAAAGGCCAATGTAAGGGCATGATTTTATGATATCTTTCAAATATGTTCACAACAGTTTTTCTCAGAACATCAAAAGGCAGGCTGCACAGTTTTGCTGTGCAGAACTTTTTGACAAGAGTTACTAAAAAAGAAGTGAGAGACTCAACTTCGACAGTAAACCTTTTTTTGACCTTTTTTGTGAATATATTTACGTTCTTGAATGAATATAGTGAAAAGCACTGCAGTCTTAGAATTACAGTGGAGTTCTTAGCATCCCTCTGCAGGTTCACTGTTGCCCATACCTGATTCTGTCCACATGGGAACTCCGGTGTGTGGATATGTAAGACCATACCAAGCATCAAGGATCTGATTTTTATGGGACTACACTATTCACATAGTTTAATTTGGACACATGATTTATGTACCTCCCAGAACAATACAGGTTTCTGATTCGTTTTATGTATGCATCTGTATTTGTGTATGTAATTAGCATATCAGAAATAAATACAGTAAAATTGTTGTATCAGGTCAAGGAATACTGAAAACAAAACTTGAGATTTCAAAAGTAAAATCTTGGATCATTAAAACTAATGGAAATTTTCATTTTTTTCTCTGTGACCAGGATTTCCTTTCAAAGACTGAATTTCCATCTAACATCATGCTTTTTGCCCTAATTACTTATTCTTCTGCAATTACCTGAAATAATGTTCTAGCAGTGGAACAAACACTGCTTACTTGACATTTAGCAGACATCTTCCATCCATCATGTTTCAGATCTGAAGCTTATGCAATTCTTTTGTAATTCTGGACTCTTGAAAAAACATAACATCAACTGTGTAAGACGGTGCTTTATTGTTTAGAAAACAAATCTTTTAGACTTTGTTCTCCATTTCACATCCTAAATACTGAAATCTTTATAATATCTCCTCATCTGCTCTAAACGTCAGAGCCTCTCAAGGCTAATACGTGGGAGTAATTTTACCTTTTTTCTGTAGTCTCACTGAGGAGCTGTATTAATCACTCTTCTGTAAGTATCTTGTACCCAGCATACTCAAAAATACCCTTGAGTAGCTCAAGGCTTCTTGTGAGCTATTTCATTCTCAGAATCTGTAAATTTTGAGATATTTTAAGATTAATGCCTTATTTTTTCTTGAGTGTACATTTACATTATTTTTATAACTTCCTATGTAGGTAATTATATGGTTACATACTGTTACATACTATATACCTAGTTTTCAGAGTTCGCAGAACAAATGCCCATACAAGGACTTCTGTTAAGTACAGATATATTACAGTTACTACAAGATCTGAAAGCAACCCAGCGCCCTGTTTTAAAACTGAACATTGTACCATATATTTTGCCATGTATGGAAATACCTGCAGCAAGGTGACAATGTAAACAAATGTGTTATGGAAACAGCAGTCAGGTACAAATAATTTATATATACAGTTCATACACAATTTTTGTAAAATGATACAGTGGAATTTATTGATCAGTTTGAAACTGGGTGCTAGTTTGCTATCTGCAAGCTGAACCTGCAAGTTAAGTGGCTCCTATTATTTACTAATGACAGGTTTAATGTAGCATGATGCTGCTACACCTGCAGTCTTGTTAGATAAGCCTACACATATAAATTTATTAAAAATAAAATACTTGTTTTTAGAACATGCATGCAAAAATATGAACATAAATACTATTATTAAATATTCTAATTAAGTATCTAGAAATGCACCATTCTTTTTTCTATAAACTTTACCACATGGATGGACAAACACATTCAAGACCCATCCCTTGTGCCTTATGTTGCTTTTATCTAACCAATCTCCTCCATCTCTCTGATTTGTTCTTTTAACCATGTCTTATGCAATGGAAAACAGGAATCTCTGGTGGGGTTTCTTTTGTGAGTGAAAAATGGAATGTACAGTTTTGTTACTGATGCTTTCACGAACTGCTGCTTCATCTGGCATGATACTACAGCTAAAACTGACTTTGGAGGCTTCCGGGATGGCTCTCCCAAAGAAAAAAAAAAAATTTAGTAAATTAAATTAGTAAAATATTACTTTAAATATCTGGACTAATCCTTAATTAAACAAACATCAAATAACAGAATTCCAGAGAAATCAAACAAGGTACATTACTTTGCCCAGAAAAGACTTTTCTATTTTCAGTGTTTCACACAAGTGAGAACAAGGAGTCATACATCCAGAAAAAAAAAATTGCACTTGTTCAGTTGTTTCTTCTTATGAAAACATGACTTAGAATTAGCATTATTGTTGTTGTATTCTTTTCTATATGTATTTATTTCCATATCATTAATTTCTAATGGTGGCCAGACTGCC